TCGCGATATGAAACAGGAATGCATTTTATGTCTTTTCACAGCTGATATGGGTTAGTCGATTCGGACACGAAGGGGACCGACGCCCACTTTGTTGACCTATGTAATGTCTCTATTGCAGTTCATACATGCAACTTATTTTGGGTCTCCTGGTTTGCCCTGATTGCAAAATGGGTGTATAAAAACTTATTATATCGAAACTAAACATTTTCTCTCAATCTTTTCGAATTACCGAATTTCACCAAAACTTTCTTTTTTATCGTCTGAATTAGTTCGACTAGAATCTGACGGCTGCTCACAGTGTGACACACACACAAATATTGATGCTAAATACATTTAGACAACTCGGGGATAAGTTTGTCGGGGATGTTCCTCAAGTCAGTCAGCTACTACTACTCACCTAAATGAGGCAGGCACCTTGATTTGTGAATTCTAGTAGTACGCGGAAATTGCAGAAGACGAAAGAGACTTGGTAAAAGAATCTTTATTTGCAAAATTAGCATCTCTATATAGCCAAATATAATGTACGCTTTATCTATCTATCCATCTATCTTCAATACATCATTGGCACAGATCTTCCGTGGTGTGCTCCTTCTTTCATATTGCCTTTCTTTGTGTTCCTTTCACATCGTCTCCCATATATCTCTCCACAACTTTGTAGCACTTGCTTTCGCTGACATAAACTCCATCTCCCTGCTATTTCATGTTTTTTTATGCCGACCGATGAACGACTCTTTACATACTACTGATAAATCCTGCCAGTAGCACTCGCCACACTACTTACTACATATTCTAATACGGTTATTTATTTTGAGGTATAAGCACAAGTTATAAACTTAAATCTATACAAGTGATGTATATACATATTGTGTATAGTTTACAAATAGTAATGAATAACTTCCATTCATACTAATAGTCAATATAGCACAAATATTCATTCAGATTTCTGAACATCATCCTGAAAAATGGTTGAGGAGTAAGGGAGAAACAAAGTTCATTCATAGTTCTATCCCATCGTATCTCCTGGATACAGAACACAAAACGGATGTGAACAAGGCGACTTTCAAAGTTGTCTAGAGCACACCAACGTAATCTTAATTTTACCACCTTAAGAGTTTGTCTACTCACATATATTGCTGACGCTGGCTAGCTATAGGATCCAGTCCACATTAAGAAGCCTAACTACTTAATGTGTCTGAAAAAAGAAGCTGGTTCAGACATAGTGTCCTTAGTACTACCCTGGCCATCTAGGTTCTAAGAATCCTTTTTACTTGTGGAAATCACCTCAATTTTATTCTATATTCTATTTGCTATTACATTTTTATGCTTATTATTATAATTTATCCATGGTTCGCCAACTGTAATTTTATTGTGATCTTACTTGACAAATTGATGGCATCTAGAAAACGAACATTATTAGTGACGATTTGTTATGTACTGCTGCTGAATGGTTAATAGAAGTTTTTCCCGTCGCCAATTATGTTATGTACTCGTCGAGTAGTTAATAGTCCTGATGCGGAAAGAGGGAAATCAGAAGACCACCAGGTTTACGATGATACTTGTATTTTCCCAGACAAGGAAAATAAATGTCACACAAGAGTGTGAGTGAAATGGTACGTAGTGTACGAAACGTTGGAACCAGAATCCACAAGAATAACAAAGCAAGACTATATAAGAAAATGGCTAATACACATGAGCCAATAAGATAGCGTCTTACCACGATTGGTTGTAATGTCATGTGATAATAAGGTCACATATTGTTTATTTAGTTAGTGGACAGACAAAAGCATATTGTCAGTTATAATGAAATATCGATCCATATACACATAGCAAAATATAATAGACTGTCAAAAACAAAACACACATGTGGATACATATCACGATTATTTAGAATATTCTGTATACATATAAATATGCACATAATTGTACAGCCAGAAGAGGAAGAAATTATCGAAAAGTATATTCTTTGCTCAATTTTGGTTTCCAAAATAGTCAATATGACACTTAGCAAATTTGTCACATGTACTCCTCCTTTTCCAATTAGACAGGCGAGGTATGTGTTACCCTTAAACATCCAATTGCATTTTCGCGCAGTTGACAATCAGCTGACAAATTTATCTTCCTAAGTACTACACTACCACGCGCAGTAGGTGAAGCCAACTGACTAACTTTCAACATAGAAAGTTGCACAGAAGTGTACCAGTTTAAGTTGCTACACCTCCTTGTTCTCCACACAAAGAAAGTCAAAAGCAGAAATGTACAGGCAAAAAGACGTAACTTGGAAAACATGACGGTTTAAAGGATCTGAGAGATCACAGCGTGTTAGTGTATGTGCGCCATCGAGAAGAATTATGAGTAAAATCACCTATAGCCTCCAGCCATTGATTTTTAGCATATTGAGGGGCCAAAACCAGACAGTTTAGACCTGCCTGCATGGCTCAGACCAACTGTCAATGATTTCATGGATTAATTTCATATTTTAGTTTGACTACCTCTAAATCTTTCTCAGACTAATCCTAAGTCAGCTTGTGGTGACAGCTGGCTGCGGTGAACAAGCCAAAATTGTAGACAACAATTGACATCAATGTTCACCTCCCGAATCACGGTCATGCAGAAAATACAATAACAAAGCTTAACCTTGAGAAGATCACCACCAGCCAATCAATCAATCACAGCGGAGTGCACGTGTGGAAATATGATTCGCAGATACATATGGCTTCACTTCCTGAAGAAACGGCCATAAAGAGATAACGGAATAGCCACCTTCAGGAAGAAAACAACCAATCAATCAGAAGAGGTTGCTTCTCCGCTGACAATAATGTACATAAAAATCTGTAAATACCTCTTGGTTTTTTTCTTTTTCAATAAAAACGATCGCTTGCCTGATCCTTGTCTTCTGTCATTACAAGCTAACATTGCTCTAAGAAGAAGAAGATGGTAACTCTTGACGTACACTAAGCAGCATATCCTAGCCATCTCATTCACAATCGATGTAGCTTCACAATTTCCACAGACCTAACACCCTAAGCATAATCTGAGCATTACACTCACCACATAATACCACTTGACACAGGTGAGATAGAAGGCAAACACATCTGTACTCAAAGACAAGTTAGCCTTTCCAGATCTACCACTCTCAATCTTACACAGCCATAAAAACGGGGACATAGCGAAGAACTTCTACACAGTGTACACACACACGCCCTTTGATAAATAATCGATAGATAACCCACTAGAGATGACATAAACAGGGGGAATCGGAGTTTTCTAGATCCGTGATCTGGCAGTCCAACGTCAAGTACCCAACATCGGTGGATCACAGCTCCTCCACACCTCAATAGATTAGAATAAAATAGCAAATGAATTCTGTACAGGTGGAATAAGATAACAAATAATGCTCTCCTTTTCATTGATTCTCTACTGATGATGTCCAACTACATCACATTCAACTCAACGGAAACACAAACAGAAGTGAGACGTACTCATATATATATCGATATATCTATACATGTATAATAGGTACAAGAGTAACATTTCTAGAAAAGGTATACTGGGTTGAACAGTGAATACGACTAATTTAATCAAGTACTTTGGGAATATTGACCAATAGATAAACAGATAAGAAAAATGAATAAATCAAAAGAAGAAATCTATTTTGTTTTCAAATATTAAACAAACAGAGAAGACGAAGAAGAATTTACACCTCCTCCTCTTCTATGAGGAGGAGAAGTCGGAGCACTTCATTTCCCTTCTGTTTAAAACACGTTCATTCCTCATCCTCCTACTCCTGCTCGTGTCATCCTCCTCCCTACTTCTCGTTGTATTGTGTTGGCGATGATGATGCTATTTGGTTCAGATTTGTTTTAAGACTGTTTCAGTAAAATAACAAAACATTCCAGATTAGATATATCCTCGTTGAAGTGGTACAACACATCACATCAGACCATAAACTGAGGCAATCAACAGGGAGCATATACACAATGAAAGTTGAATAATGAGAGCTGTGGGGCGGGGCGGGGCGGGAGAATTAGACACTGTTGTTATACAATCGGAACAACACTAACAATTAGAAATACAGAGTGAATTACACAATTCTAAATAGAAATACACACACAATTCAAAATGAGAGCGAAAACGACTTTGCTTTTTGCGGTTATATTGACTGTTTGAATACCGGGCGCACACACAGACACACAACGACGAAAAATAATAGCTCGAAACCAAAACATATTACATCAGGGGATATTAAAACTCAACAAAAGAGAAAATAATAAGTCAAAAACAAGGAAATAAATAAAGATAAAAAACAGAAATATTATTTCTCAATAATAATGATAATAATAGTAGTAGTAGTGTGGTGAGAGCTGACTGCTAGCCACTGTCGGTAGACAGTAATTTACGTCAATGCTCATGCCCCAAAGACTTCGGGTAGAGGGATACAGTTAGAAATTGAGAAGCCGATATCTTCTACCTAGTGAATTATGGATAAGAAGAAGGAGCATGGAAATCGCTAGACTTATTACCATTGGAAAGGAGAACCGACCGATGGCTCAGATATTAAGAAGGGAGAAGAACCGGCAGGGAGGTCGGTGAGACTTGCGGGAAAAGAACCAGTGGACTACTATCGATTGATGCCACATGAAAAGTGCCGAAAATAATTAACTGTTATTAATATTAAAATAAGTGAAATCTGATTTTAATATTATTAACGGTTAATTATTTTCGGCACTCTTCATTTGGCATCAATCGATAGTAGTCCACTGGTTCTTTTTCCGCAAGTCTCACCGACCTCCCTGCCGGTTCTTCTCCCTTCTTAATATCTGAGCCATCGGTCGGTTCTCCTTTCCAATGGTAATAAGTCTAGCGATTTCCATGCTCCTTCTTCTTATCCATAATTCACTGAGTAGAAGATATCGCCTCCTCAAGTTCTAACTTTAACCACGCACCCAAAGTCTTTGGGACATAAGCATTGACGTAGATTACTGTCTACCAACTTTGACTAGCAGTCAAACCAGCACTCACCACGGTAGTAGTAGTAGTAGTAGTAGTAGTAGTAGTAGTAGTAGTAGTAGTAGTAGTAGTAGTAGTAGTAGTAGTAGTAGTAGTAGTAGTAGTAGTAGTAGTAGTAGTAGTAGTAGTAGTAGTAGTAGTAGTAGTAGTAGTAGTAGTAGTAGTAGTAGTAGTAGTAGTAGTAGTAGTAGTAGTAGTAGTAGTAGTAGTAGTAGTAGTAGTAGTAGTAGTAGTAGTAGTAGTAGTAGTAGTAGTAGTAGTAGTAGTAGTAGTAGTAGTAGCAGTAGTAGTAGTAGTAGTAGTAGTAGTAGTAGTAGTAGTAGTAGTAGTAGTAGTAGTAGTAGTAGTAGTAGTAGTAGTAGTAGTAGTAGTAGTAGTAGTAGTAGTAGTAGTAGTAGTAGTAGTAGTAGTAGTAGTAGTAGTAGTAGTAGTAGTAGTAGTAGTAGTAGTAGTAGTAGTAGTAGTAGTAGTAGTAGTAGTAGTAGTAGTAGTAGTAGTAGTAGTAGTAGTAGTAGTAGTAGTAGTAGTAGTAGTAGTAGTAGTAGTAGTAGTAGTAGTAGTAGTAGTAGTAGTAGTAGTAGTAGTAGTAGTAGTAGTAGTAGTAGTAGTGTAACAACAGAAGACAAGGGCCAGGCAACAGATCGTTTTATTATGAAAATCAACACGTATTTATACATCTTTCAACTACATTATTATAGACAAGCGCAGTCATCTGATTGGTTGTTTAGGTAGACAAACGCAGGCTTCTGATTGGTTGTTTCGGGATTCCTTGACAAATAGAGTTCTCTCTGCGAATCATATTCTGCCACGTTAACTTTGCTGTGATTGGTTGTTGACTCAGGCTTGTTCATATTTTCTCACGGCCCATATTAGTGACCTAGACCCTAACGTAGATTAGTGCCAACCAATCGGCTAGCAGCCTGCTCTCACCACAGTAGTAGTAGTAGTAGTAGTAGTAGTAGTAGTAGTAGTAGTAGTAGTAGTAGTAGTAGTAGTAGTAGTAGTAGTAGTAGTAGTAGTAGTAGTAGTAGTAGTAGTAGTAGTAGTAGTAGTAGTAGTAGTAGTAGTAGTAGTAGTGTAACAACAGAAGACAAGGGCCAGGCAACAGATCGTTTTATTATGAAAATCAACACGTATTTATACATCTTTCAACTACATTATTATAGACAAGCGCAGTCATCTGATTGGTTGTTTAGGTAGACAAACGCAGGCTTCTGATTGGTTGTTTCGGGATTCCTTGACAAATAGAGTTCTCTCTGCGAATCATATTCTGCCACGTTAACTTTGCTGTGATTGGTTGTTGACTCAGGCTTGTTCATATTTTCTCACGGCCCATATTAGTGACCTAGACCTTAACGTAGATTAGTGCCAACCAATCGGCTAGCAGCCTGCTCTCACCACAGTAGTAGTAGTAGTAGTAGTAGTAGTAGTAGTAGTAGTAGTAGTAGTAGTAGTAGTAGTAGTAGTAGTAGTAGTAGTAGTAGTAGTAGTAGTAGTAGTAGTAGTAGTAGTAGTAGTAGTAGTAGTAGTAGTAGTAGTAGTAGTAGTAGTAGTAGTAGTAGTAGTAGTAGTAGTAGTAGTAGTAGTAGTAGTAGTAGTAGTAGTAGTAGTAGTAGTAGTAGTAGTAGTAGTAGTAGTAGTAGTAGTAGTAGTAGTAGTAGTAGTAGTAGTAGTAGTAGTAGTAGTAGTAGTAGTAGTAGTAGTAGTAGTAGTAGTAGTAGTAGTAGTAGTAGTAGTAGTAGTAGTAGTAGTAGTAGTAGTAGTAGTAGTAGTAGTAGTAGTAGTAGTAGTAGTAGTAGTAGTAGTAGTAGTAGTAGTAGTAGTAGTAGTAGTAGTAGTAGTAGTAGTAGTAGTAGTAGTAGTAGTAGTAGTAGTGTAACAACAGAAGACAAGGGCCAGGCAACAGATCGTTTTATTATGAAAATCAACACGTATTTATACATCTTTCAACTACATTATTATAGACAAGCGCAGTCATCTGATTGGTTGTTTAGGTAGACAAACGCAGGCTTCTGATTGGTTGTTTCGGGATTCCTTGACAAATAGAGTTCTCTCTGCGAATCATATTCTGCCACGTTAACTTTGCTGTGATTGGTTGTTGACTCAGGCTTGTTCATATTTTCTCACGGCCCATATTAGTGACCTAGACCTTAACGTAGATTAGTGCCAACCAATCGGCTAGCAGCCTGCTCTCACCACAGTAGTAGTAGTAGTAGTAGTAGTAGTAGTAGTAGTAGTAGTAGTAGTAGTAGTAGTAGTAGTAGTAGTAGTAGTAGTAGTAGTAGTAGTAGTAGTAGTAGTAGTAGTAGTAGTAGTAGTAGTAGTAGTAGTAGTAGTAGTAGTAGTAGTAGTAGTAGTAGTAGTAGTAGTAGTAGTAGTAGTAGTAGTAGTAGTAGTAGTAGTAGTAGTAGTAGTAGTAGTAGTAGTAGTAGTAGTAGTAGTAGTAGTAGTAGTAGTAGTAGTAGTAGTAGTAGTAGTAGTAGTAGTAGTAGTAGTAGTAGTAGTAGTAGTAGTAGTAGTAGTAGTAGTAGTAGTAGTAGTAGTAGTGTAACAACAGAAGACAAGGGCCAGGCAACAGATCGTTTTATTATGAAAATCAACACGTATTTATACATCTTTCAACTACATTATTATAGACAAGCGCAGTCATCTGATTGGTTGTTTAGGTAGACAAACGCAGGCTTCTGATTGGTTGTTTCGGGATTCCTTGACAAATAGAGTTCTCTCTGCGAATCATATTCTGCCACGTTAACTTTGCTGTGATTGGTTGTTGACTCAGGCTTGTTCATATTTTCTCACGGCCCATATTAGTGACCTAGACCTTAACGTAGATTAGTGCCAACCAATCGGCTAGCAGCCTGCTCTCACCACAGTAGTAGTAGTAGTAGTAGTAGTAGTAGTAGTAGTAGTAGTAGTAGTAGTAGTAGTAGTAGTAGTAGTAGTAGTAGTAGTAGTAGTAGTAGTAGTAGTAGTAGTAGTAGTAGTAGTAGTAGTAGTAGTAGTAGTAGTAGTAGTAGTAGTAGTAGTAGTAGTAGTAGTAGTAGTAGTAGTAGTAGTAGTAGTAGTAGTAGTAGTAGTAGTAGTAGTAGTAGTAGTAGTAGTAGTAGTAGTAGTAGTAGTAGTAGTAGTAGTAGTAGTAGTAGTAGTAGTAGTAGTAGTAGTAGTAGTAGTAGTAGTAGTAGTAGTAGTAGTAGTAGTAGTAGTAGTAGTAGTAGTAGTAGTAGTAGTAGTAGTAGTAGTAGTAGTAGTAGTAGTAGTAGTGTAACAACAGAAGACAAGGGCCAGGCAACAGATCGTTTTATTATGAAAATCAACACGTATTTATACATCTTTCAACTACATTATTATAGACAAGCGCAGTCATCTGATTGGTTGTTTAGGTAGACAAACGCAGGCTTCTGATTGGTTGTTTCGGGATTCCTTGACAAATAGAGTTCTCTCTGCGAATCATATTCTGCCACGTTAACTTTGCTGTGATTGGTTGTTGACTCAGGCTTGTTCATATTTTCTCACGGCCCATATTAGTGACCTAGACCTTAACGTAGATTAGTGCCAACCAATCGGCTAGCAGCCTGCTCTCACCACAGTAGTAGTAGTAGTAGTAGTAGTAGTAGTAGTAGTAGTAGTAGTAGTAGTAGTAGTAGTAGTAGTAGTAGTAGTAGTAGTAGTAGTAGTAGTAGTAGTAGTAGTAGTAGTAGTAGTAGTAGTAGTAGTGTAACAACAGAAGACAAGGGCCAGGCAACAGATCGTTTTATTATGAAAATCAACACGTATTTATACATCTTTCAACTACATTATTATAGACAAGCGCAGTCATCTGATTGGTTGTTTAGGTAGACAAACGCAGGCTTCTGATTGGTTGTTTCGGGATTCCTTGACAAATAGAGTTCTCTCTGCGAATCATATTCTGCCACGTTAACTTTGCTGTGATTGGTTGTTGACTCAGGCTTGTTCATATTTTCTCACGGCCCATATTAGTGACCTAGACCTTAACGTAGATTAGTGCCAACCAATCGGCTAGCAGCCTGCTCTCACCACAGTAGTAGTAGTAGTAGTAGTAGTAGTAGTAGTAGTAGTAGTAGTAGTAGTAGTAGTAGTAGTAGTAGTAGTAGTAGTAGTAGTAGTAGTAGTAGTAGTAGTAGTAGTAGTAGTAGTAGTAGTAGTAGTAGTAGTAGTAGTAGTAGTAGTAGTAGTAGTAGTAGTAGTAGTAGTAGTAGTAGTAGTAGTAGTAGTAGTAGTAGTAGTAGTAGTAGTAGTAGTAGTAGTAGTAGTAGTAGTAGTAGTAGTAGTGTAACAACAGAAGACAAGGGCCAGGCAACAGATCGTTTTATTATGAAAATCAACACGTATTTATACATCTTTCAACTACATTATTATAGACAAGCGCAGTCATCTGATTGGTTGTTTAGGTAGACAAACGCAGGCTTCTGATTGGTTGTTTCGGGATTCCTTGACAAATAGAGTTCTCTCTGCGAATCATATTCTGCCACGTTAACTTTGCTGTGATTGGTTGTTGACTCAGGCTTGTTCATATTTTCTCACGGCCCATATTAGTGACCTAGACCTTAACGTAGATTAGTGCCAACCAATCGGCTAGCAGCCTGCTCTCACCACAGTAGTAGTAGTAGTAGTAGTAGTAGTAGTAGTAGTAGTAGTAGTAGTAGTAGTAGTAGTAGTAGTAGTAGTAGTAGTAGTAGTAGTAGTAGTAGTAGTAGTAGTAGTAGTAGTAGTAGTAGTAGTAGTAGTAGTAGTAGTAGTAGTAGTAGTAGTAGTAGTAGTAGTAGTAGTAGTAGTAGTAGTAGTAGTAGTAGTAGTAGTAGTAGTAGTGTAACAACAGAAGACAAGGGCCAGGCAACAGATCGTTTTATTATGAAAATCAACACGTATTTATACATCTTTCAACTACATTATTATAGACAAGCGCAGTCATCTGATTGGTTGTTTAGGTAGACAAACGCAGGCTTCTGATTGGTTGTTTCGGGATTCCTTGACAAATAGAGTTCTCTCTGCGAATCATATTCTGCCACGTTAACTTTGCTGTGATTGGTTGTTGACTCAGGCTTGTTCATATTTTCTCACGGCCCATATTAGTGACCTAGACCTTAACGTAGATTAGTGCCAACCAATCGGCTAGCAGCCTGCTCTCACCACAGTAGTAGTAGTAGTAGTAGTAGTAGTAGTAGTAGTAGTAGTAGTAGTAGTAGTAGTAGTAGTAGTAGTAGTAGTAGTAGTAGTAGTAGTAGTAGTAGTAGTAGTAGTAGTAGTAGTAGTAGTAGTAGTAGTAGTAGTAGTAGTAGTAGTAGTAGTAGTAGTAGTAGTAGTAGTAGTAGTAGTAGTAGTAGTAGTAGTAGTAGTAGTAGTAGTAGTAGTAGTAGTAGTAGTAGTAGTAGTAGTAGTAGTAGTAGTAGTAGTAGTAGTAGTAGTAGTAGTAGTAGTAGTAGTAGTAGTAGTAGTAGTAGTAGTAGTAGTAGTAGTAGTAGTAGTAGTAGTAGTGTAACAACAGAAGACAAGGGCCAGGCAACAGATCGTTTTATTATGAAAATCAACACGTATTTATACATCTTTCAACTACATTATTATAGACAAGCGCAGTCATCTGATTGGTTGTTTAGGTAGACAAACGCAGGCTTCTGATTGGTTGTTTCGGGATTCCTTGACAAATAGAGTTCTCTCTGCGAATCATATTCTGCCACGTTAACTTTGCTGTGATTGGTTGTTGACTCAGGCTTGTTCATATTTTCTCACGGCCCATATTAGTGACCTAGACCTTAACGTAGATTAGTGCCAACCAATCGGCTAGCAGCCTGCTCTCACCACAGTAGTAGTAGTAGTAGTAGTAGTAGTAGTAGTAGTAGTAGTAGTAGTAGTAGTAGTAGTAGTAGTAGTAGTAGTAGTAGTAGTAGTAGTAGTAGTAGTAGTAGTAGTAGTAGTAGTAGTAGTAGTAGTAGTAGTAGTAGTAGTAGTAGTAGTAGTAGTAGTAGTAGTAGTAGTAGTAGTAGTAGTAGTAGTAGTAGTAGTAGTAGTAGTAGTAGTAGTAGTAGTAGTAGTAGTAGTAGTAGTAGTAGTAGTAGTAGTAGTAGTAGTAGTAGTAGTAGTAGTAGTAGTAGTAGTAGTAGTAGTAGTAGTAGTAGTAGTAGTAGTAGTAGTAGTAGTAGTAGTAGTAGTAGTAGTAGTAGTAGTAGTAGTAGTAGTAGTAGTAGTAGTAGTAGTAGTAGTAGTAGTAGTAGTAGTAGTAGTAGTAGTAGTAGTAGTAGTAGTAGTAGTAGTAGTAGTAGTAGTAGTAGTAGTAGTAGTAGTAGTAGTAGTAGTAGTAGTAGTAGTAGTAGTAGTAGTAGTAGTAGTAGTAGTAGTAGTAGTAGTAGTAGTAGTAGTAGTAGTAGTAGTAGTAGTAGTAGTAGTAGTAGTAGTAGTAGTAGTAGTAGTAGTAGTAGTAGTAGTAGTAGTAGTAGTAGTAGTAGTAGTAGTAGTAGTAGTAGTAGTAGTAGTAGTAGTAGTAGTAGTAGTAGTAGTAGTAGTAGTAGTAGTAGTAGTAGTAGTACAGACTTGAGAATAAGTAACAATCATATAATTCTCACTGTCAAGATGATTCTTACTACCACCACCTCTGGTAAGAAGGAATACTCTTCAGTGATATTGAAGTTCCCACCAACCACACGATACTATACTATGCTGTACTATACCATAAAGAGGTAAGAGATTTCATGGAAAAGCTACAAAATGCAAAAAACAGAGAAAAAAGAAGAAAAATGGAGTCATAAGAAAATCGATGAAGTTGTGAGTGTGTTAAGACACAATCCTGATTTTATAAGTAGTATAATGCACAAAACGACAAAAATATTCTAAACTTTCTTTCTTTTGAAAAAAAGATTAAATGCATTACATCTTTCATGCGCTTGTGTTAATTATAACTAAGTGGAGAAGATCCGTGAAGTAGATGCTCAGATGGATGTTTTCAATGATTGTGTTGGCACTAAAGATGTTGCCTAGGTAGACAACCAAAGGTTCGAAATCAAATTTTCTGGCTGAGAGAAGGCAACACCAACAGAGCCTCACAGTTAAACAATTATCATGAACACTCACTGTCATAATATATAGATACATAAATATTCCTTCGGGTTTGCAGTGGAACAAAGGACTTCACCGGTACATCCCCATTTCACCATCAGAATGCTATTTAAAGTTCTATTTAGCTGTGTTCACAATTTCCCAACTCTACACATCGTCATCAAACAAAGCAGAGAATGGAAGGTAAACTCCTAACTTAAGTTCATCGACCAATTTCAAAAAGCCTTAGACAGAGTTGATCGAGTGGTAATTTGAAAACTATTTTAACACTACACCGCGCAGTGACCTAGTCTTTATCAACCTCATTTAGCAGTTGGCTATACGACAATCCCATGTGTTAGATGATCCACAATGGAAATATCAACGAGGCCTTCGTAGTCAATACAGGAGTAAGACAGGGTTGTCTATTATCATCGATGCTATTCTTAACTGTGGTGGACTGGAGGATTATGCATCAGACTGTGCACAGGGAGTGAGAAGACAGGAATACGTTGGACCACCGATGAGCGGACTCTAGACGATCTGGATTTCGCGTGTGGAAGATTTATGTTTACAGTCAAACAAACTTGAAAACTAATAGGCGAAAACCAACAAACTGGCAGAAGAGGCAGAGCTGGCAGTGAAGACACGACTCCAGGTGAACATAGGGAAGACAGAGTTGATAAAGATAACCAACCAACCAACAACAACAACAACCATCACCAATCACCATCAACGGGAGAGATTTCACAGTGGTTACTTCCTGGCTTCACTTATCTAGGAAGCATCGTTTCAACCATATACAGTTGAAATGGATGAAGATGTCAAAGCCAGCCAGTCGGGATCGGAAAGATAAGATACACCTCCTGTCAATGGAGTTGAAGATTGAACGATCAATTCTTGGTTGTTTGCTCAAAATCAACTTCCTCGATTTTCGCGGAGGCATCAATACGACAGTCATCGTCTCATCGGTCGCTGTTCAGAAAGAAGAGTTAAACATCGTTAGAAGTAACATAACGATTTATTATTGTAATATTTGTTTACAGACCTTAGTTTTCTTAGTTTGCTTAGTGATACTTGATTTATATGCTGGTGTAACAATACATAATACTCAAGTCAACAATTGGTGTTCTGGTTTTTCGTCCGTTATAACTAAGCGTTTCGAAAATCTTCAAGGAACAGCGTGGGCCCGAGCGTAGCGAGAGCTGGGCATTAACGGTTTATGAGACGGTAGCTGACAGTTTCTAACGATGGAAACAGATCTGGCGGATTGAAACAGTTGGTGAAAGTTTGGATAGTCGCCGTTTATCTTTCCTGGTGCCGGTCAAGTCCTCTTTGAACAAGCAATATCTGGAACTTTTTTGGAATTTGGTCAAGTTCAACAATGCCTGGGTCAAAGAAGGGACAGAGTGTCTTGGATGCAAACAGGAAAGTAAGTCATGGTGACTTGTCTGTTAATTGTAACGATGTGTCTGATGTTAAACATGATATGGTTGATGTTACTGTTTCGCCGTTCAGGGATAATAGGAACATCAAACTCCCTAAATTAGAACCACAGTGTTTTGATGGAAACCCGGCTGATTATTTACAATTTGTAAAGGAGTTTGAGATCATGCTGAATAGTTTTCTATTAAATGATGAATTGAAATTGATGTATTTGATGAGATATTGCACTGGAGATGCTGCAAGAGCTATACAGTGTTGTAAGTTTATGAAGCCAAAGGAGGGCTACGATGAGGCTATGAGCATATTACGCCAAAGGTTTGGAAGACCCTCGATGATTGCAGGGAAATTATTCGAGGCTGTTGAGGGTAATGGTGGTCAGTTAAAGGATGACTCCCAGGCACTCACTGAGTTTTTAGATAATTTGCTAATTTACAAGAATGGAATGATTTCGATGAATCGAATGAGTGACCTCAACTCGAGTTTTATACTAGAAGTAATAGCAAGACGTCTACCTACCCGACTGCAAAGGAAGTGGGTGAAGATAAGCTCCCGTATGGAGGATGAGGGTATCGAGCCAAAGTTTGATGATATCCTGAAACTGGTAAATACTAGTGTCAATCAATCTATGAGCAAGTTCGCCAGTCTGTTAGATCTCACCCATAGAATAGAGCAGTCTGAGGGGAAAACGTACTCATTGATGACGAATAAGCCTCAGAGAGGTGGATATCGAGAAGGCTCCATGATGTCTAGTAATGCATATAGATCTAGTGAGTGTAACAGTTTTCGTAGTACATCCTCAACAGATAAGTTGCAAGATGCAAGACAAACACGGTTGTGTTGTACTCGTTTGCAAGAGGTGCATACAAAAGTGAACTGTGAACCAGTGAGCAAGTTCAGTGATAAGCTAAATGTAAACTCCAGGTCTGACTCCAAATTGTGTGACGATAACGGTGTTGTGAAGAAGTCTGTAGTTGCAACTGGTAAGCCGTTGTTGAATAGAGTGTCACAGAATAGAGTTACTGCTTCAGAGTGGAGTTCTGACTCCACAAGTTTACAAAGTATATCTAGTCAGAGTGAAGTTATAAAACCTTTAATGATTTTGAGGAGGAACCAAAATTGTCTACTTCTGTTATTAAGGAGTTTGAAAATGATGAACTTGACGGTAAATTGAATATTTGTGGTGATGATCATGATAGTGCAGATTTGTCTTTGGTTGATCATTATGAGATGCGGGATATGCCTACTACTGCTAAGTTAAATAAAGGTTCTGTACAACTACAACGTGAAGTAGAATTGAACGCAGATGCAGTTCCAGAAGGTGTGCATACTTGTGAGACAGTCAGTGTAATTGATCAGCATGTAGCCCACCTATCATCAGATGATAGTGCTAAACCTGAACTAGTAGTGAAAGACAGCAGTGGTGGTAATCTTGCAGTTGGACAACTATCTGAGAGCCGAACAAGAACAGCTTCTGATCCACCACTAAGTTCATCACCTTGTGTCACTCAGTCATCGTTGGTGTTTTCATCCACAATGAAACAGATGCCCATCAACTCTAGTATCTTCTGCAATGACTATGGTAGTATCAGTTCGTTTGAAAGGACGAATATCAATGGTCAGTTTAGTGTGGATAAGCCAAGTGTAAAGGAGAGAGTTATTGTTAAATTGACTTGCACGAATAAAGGCATTTCTAGTTTCAAGTTACTATTTGAATGTTATTATCTTTGGTGTAAATTACTCTGTTTCTATACTTGGTTGATGAGATATGTCGTGTGTTTGTTGGTCATCTATATTCTACGATACAATGACATGGGCGTGTTGCCGTTCAGATTTGAGGATATAGCTGATAGAAGGAAGTTAGCAAATGAACTCTGCGACGATTTTCCAACCTAGGGCGTCAACCTGAGAAGGGTTGTAGGCGTACTGCTGTAAGTCCTACAATTCTTCAAAGGGTAGCGCATCAATGAGCAGTCCAATGTGCTTGGTGTGTGATTTTGTACATATGTTCATATTGTATATACTGAATTGATATCATTTATCATCTAGCTGTTGGTAATTCTGTTTGTGTCCGGATGACTTCCACTTGGATCATCAACCTGAGAAGGAATGTAGGCGTACTGCTGTAAGTCCTACGGTTCTTCAAGGGTAGTTTGTCGTGTCAGAATCCACAACATTTGATGTGTTGATTGTACATATGTTTGTGTTAAATAGTTGTGTGAGTTCCAATTGATGTAATTGTTGGTTAATCTTGTTTGTGTCTGGACATTCCACAACTTACAATCGTCAACCTGTGAAGGGTTGTAGGCGTACTGGTGTAAGTCCTGCAATTCTTCAAAGGAATTCCACCAAGACATGATCGGCGAGGTTGTTTGTACTATTTGTATATACGTGTGGTGTGTCATAGCAATTGGTGTTTTTTGGATTCATTGTGTTTACTTGTTGTTTTCGTGTCTTGTTGTTATTGCGTAATTTTGTTAAAATTTTCGTCGTGATTATTTCTGAAGTTGTTTCGAGTCTTCTACATCCATGAATGAATTGATTGATGTTAAGGACAGCAGATGGGTCGTATACGCCGGGGAGGCTAGGCTATTGCTGAGAATGAAATGCACACGGAGATAATTGTTAGCTGCGGTCCGACACGCCGGGGAGAAAGAGTGTAAACGACTGAGGCTCGCATGCGTCACCGCTACTAGAACTGAGGCAGAATGAGTGACAAGCGATTTCAGTGGTAATTGATAGTGAATAAAAAAGAGGATGCTTGAAGAGTATCATGAGGTGCTGCTATGGTCACTTTGCATTCTGCAAGAGTCATTCTAGCAAGTGGAGACTGTGTTGCAAGATGTCAAGAGGAGGTCTCTGTCTGGAGGCGCAGGTCGTCATTGATGTGTGAGATTGTGCTGTGGGTATGCTTGTGGTGTGTTGGCTTTTCTGTTTGTTTTCCATTTCAGCTCTGTCCGTGTGACCCAGGTTCTCGCAATGGCATCCAAGTCAACGTGCATTGGTCGTGAAGGAAAAAAGGGTTGGATCCCTTTTTTGCCGGGGAGTGTCAATGGAGTTGAAGATTGAACGATCAATTCTTGGTTGTTTGCTCAAAATCAACTTCCTCGATTTTCGCGGAGGCATCAATACGACAGTCATCGTCTCATCGGTCGCTGTTCAGAAAGAAGAGTTAAACATCGTTAGAAGTAACATAACGATTTATTATTGTAATATTTGTTTACAGACCTTAGTTTTCTTAGTTTGCTTAGTGATACTTGATTTATATGCTGGTGTAACAATACATAATACTCAAGTCAACAATTGGTGTTCTGGTTTTTTCGTCCGTTATAACTAAGCGTTTCGAAAATCTTCAAGGAACAGCGTGGGCCCGAGCGTAGCGAGAGCTGGGCATTAACGGTTTATGAGACGGTAGCTGACACCTCCATCAACTTGAAAGAGGTTTGCAAATCTTCTGCACTCCGTCAGCATGACGAACAACATTCGGATCCTGTTCGACACATATGTGAAGCGACGAGTGGGTCATCAGTGTTAGGGTGACATGGAGGAGATCATGCGAAGAGGAGATGAGAGAGATTATGGGCTAAAGAGAACAGCACCAAAAAGAAAGAAGTAAAGATGTGTTGTTGGAGCCTTATGTTTGATATGTATCCATATATATATATATATATATATATATATATATATTGAAGTATGCGCTGAAGATGTCACCCAGTAGGGCGATGAAAGCTTCGCAAACTAACCATCCAGCTCAGAGAACAAAAACCACATCAAAAATATAATATGAGTGTTTGTTGACAGTCCGTAGCTTGGTGACATATATCCATATATGGTGGTTGTTGACATGTCTGCTATATTTCACTACGTATATATGGATCGATACTCCATTATAATTAGCCATTCATGTTAAGACTGTCTAGTGATTTGTTCACACCTTTTGTCTAGACATTCATATATATATATTTCGTTCTCACAATCTTGTGACTTACTTACTACCACTTTGGTGTGATACCACTTTTGCATTCTCCTTGTGTTTGGAAAATAGAAGTATCATCGCAAACCTAGTGGTCTTGTGATTTCCGCCTTCTTGCGTCAGGACTATTAAATTCTCGACCAGTACATAACAATAATTTAGCGACGAGTACATAACAATGTTCCATTCGGAACCCAAGGGAATAATAAATGCAATCGCGGATAAGCTTTCATCCCCTCCTCGCACAATTTCACCCAAATCATTCTGCTGCAATGTCCAACTCGTCGTTTTCCATTAGGGTTTGCCTGGGCCTCCTCTCCTATATTGTCAACTTAAGATATGAACCAGGCTGATTTCACTATTTTACATCACTAGTTTAGTAGTCAGGGTTCTAAGCCTGAAAAAATGGAGAAGGTTGGGCGTGTGATCAGCCTAACTGCATTTGGTTGGTTAGTGAAACAATCTCGGAAAGAAATGGCACTATAATTAGCTCCCAGGGTAGACGACTGGATCGCTGGAAAGAGCATTATGAGGAGCAGTTTAATTGGCCCACAGCCACGCTCAACCTTCCGAACATCCAACACCTCCCTGAATGGGATATAGACACAGGTCCTCCGTCACTAACTGAGGTTACTAAAGCTGTCACCAATCTGAAACTAGGCAAAGCAGCGGGACCTGATGGAATGACTCCAGAGGTATTTAAGTACGGTGGAGACAGTTTACTGTCCGGATTAACTGAGGTACTAGGCAGCGTCTGGGAATCAGAAGAAGTCCCATCGGGTTGGTGTAAGTCACTGATTATCCCGATATACAAGAAGGGAGACAAGTCTTCCTGTGATAATCACAGAGGGATTGGATTAGCTTGAGTAATATAGTATCTAAAGTCCTAGACTCAATAATCATGCGTAGCCTAAGTGGTACTCGGGAGGCACAAACACGAGTGAGCCAGGTAGGCTTTAGACCAGGAAGAGGGTGTATTGATCATATCTTCCCACTCCGACAGATTCTAGAACACAGGCACTCCTACCGGCGTCCAACAGTCATTATATTTCTTGACCTAAAGGCAGCATTCGACTCTGTCGATCGAGAAGTTCTCTGGAGATGATTGGCTGTAAAGGGAATTCCGAGAAAATATATTGCACTGATTAAGGCACTCTACTCGTATTCATACAGCCAGGTGAGGGCTTACGGCGAACTGTCATCCGAACTGGTGACGACTAGCGGTGTCCGTCAAGGATGCCCATTATCCCCTTATCTATTCAACTTCATCATAGATGTGTTAATGGACTTAACCCTAAGTGACTTCAGCGACTCAGGGATTGACTTGCTACCAGGGAATAATCTCGTTAACTTGGAATATGCAGACGACATAGTCCTTTTAGGGGAGGACGCTGACAAAATGCACAATCTTCTGAACACCTTGAGCAACAATCTTCGTATGTTTGGCATGCGATTCGCTCCCGCCAAATGCAAGATGATGTTACAGGACTGGACTACATCGACGCCTAGTTTAAAAATAGGAAGTGAAGTGGTAGAGCACGTTGACCGCTTCACTTATTTAGGAAGTACCATCAGCCCCAACGGGCTGATCTCTGACGAAATCTCAGCACGAATACAAGGGGCTCGTTTCGCATTTGTTAGTTTACGCCGGCTCTGGCGTAGACGAGATGTTCGACTATCGACCAAAGGGCGGGTGTACTGCTCATCAGTCCGCTCCGTCCTTCTTTATGGCTGTGAGACCTGGCCACTGAGAGTGGAAGACATGAAAAGACTAGCTGTCTTTGATTATAGGTGCCTGCGTTCTCTCTCCCGTGTAAAGTGGCATAATAAGGTGAGCAACATTGAAGTTAGGCGTCGAGTTCTAGGTAAAGAGGGGAAATCGATCAACGAAGTCATGAAATTACGAAGACTGAGATGGTTATGACATGTGTTACGTATGCCAAGCCATCGCCTCCCTCGACGAGCTATGTTAGCGGATATAGGGTCAGGCTGGAAAAAAGCTAGCGGCGGTCAAACAAAAACTTGGCCCCACCAGTCAATGAAATCCACAACAGTTGGTCTAAGCCACGTAGGAAGGTGTAGACTTCCAGGCTGGGGTCTTCGGGACGGTAAAAATCTATGGTTGGAAACAATTGGTGACATGGCTCAAAATCGTTCTCAGTGGCGCAGATGCATCTACTCCCTGTGACTTATGATCTCTAATGAATCTGTTTTGTCCTTCGTTATTACTCCTTTGTCTCACACCTCTGCTCACTGTTTCTATTATGCTTTTCTTGTACTTTCTTCTCTTGCTTCGCGTGCTACACGGAGTGTGGCGACTTGAAGTGCCGCACATTTGTGCAAAGTTCTATGTCAAAAACAGACAGACAGACAGGTTGGTCTCATACTACTCTACGAATAGAGGCTACATTATTTCCATTCTTTTGTCTCTCAATATTTTACCTTACAATCGATGTGCAGACATGGAATGTAGCAAATTAGATCCCTTTATTCTTTTGAGTCCTCAGTGGAACATAGGGCTACCGCCCCCCCCTCTTTATTGGGATTATAACCGTCTAAAGAAGGTAGAGGTGTGTGCCAGTCAGGACTCGCGCGCCGGACCACATGGCGTGGTCGACTAGCACTCTATCTCTGAACGACTGACCCACAGCAATTTAGGTCAACATACAGTCACCATTCTCTAAGGTTCTACGTCGACGCCTTTTAGTCTGTTTGTTGAAAATGGTGAACGCCTAACATCACCCAGTTAGAACGATCAGTTAACTTTAGATGCTGATGATGATATTAGACACACTACAACTATTTTCAACTCAATGATGAAAACGAAGGGGTGTAAAGTATGATAACAAAAACTACCACTGAGAGACATCGGAAGGTTGACGGAAGAAGGTTCTCGGGGACATCCCCGGATTTCGGCCGTGATTGTTTCGCAAAATATGCATGTTTGCAATGTGCATGCATTAAAAATTACAAATAGACACGAGGTATAGATGAACACACTTGAAAAGGTGAGGAAATTCGATTTTAAAAATAATACATTCAGATGGCATTTGTACAACCTTATAGACGGGGGATGGATAGGTGAATCGATATTTCCTGATGCCTTGAAGGAACTCATCTCCTTTCTGTACTAGTTGACTCCAGTTCAAATTTCAGAAGGGGGGGATTAAGCTCCTTCAAAACTACAGATACGTCTCATTGTGACGAGGTTTAGTTTAGGAAGCACGAAATCCAGGTCCTCCTCCAACCATCTACTAACAACACAATTTAGAGGGCATCACATGATGGAGGACCACCTGCACAAACTTGACTGACAGAACTCAGTCGGCGCCAAAGAAGGGACTAGGCGCATGATATTAGTTACATTACACATTAGTCCATTCAAATTACCCAACTCCACCTGGAACATTATCTGAAGAACAGTAGTGCAAACGGAAACAGAAAATTTGTTGTTTTTTTCTTGATGATGTTGCGAAAACTATTCTGTTTTATTGAAATGGTTCTGTCATATAATAAGTTTTAATACATATTTATATTTTTAAATTCTCATATTTGATTATAGCTTGATCCCATACAGTAATTTGTATAAGTATAAAATTTTCGGCATGTGATATCCGTAGCCCACATTCAGCAGACCGACGACCATTGATATCAGGTGTGAGTCGGTCGGAGATCGAAACCCGGGCCGTGTGCATAGTCGGCGAGCGTCTTAACTGCTGTGCCACCAACGCACAGATAATGAATGAAATCTTCTTCTCAGCACTCAACAGTTTTCAGTCAGTGGGTCCTGGGTTCAAAACCCGTTCCATCTACTCCATTCAGTATCAACAAATGGGCAGTATCAACACCCTTTGAACAATAATTCTGACTCATATTCTAGTACACAAAAGACCAGCTCCCGATAACTGACTTCAAACGACCTCACTCACCCCCCTCCGCTGACAAAGTGAATTATTTGTGTAATCCCTATACAGCGATAAGGCGAATTTTACCTTGGTGTCAGCATTGATAAAGTTGACCAGAAAGACAATGAAATCCTCGTTATTCAACCGTCAACCGACCAACCAACCAACCACACAGCTAAGAGAAAGCACAACTACACAACAAAGTTATGCACACTTGAGCTACACAGATATCCTCTCCATAATTTATTAACTACACAATTGTATTTATTAACTGAAAACTAACCTCTCTCTCTCTCCCGCTATTTACATTTTTTATTTGTGTCAGAATCTCCAATGAGAAAAGCTTCCATTTCTTCACGTCTACATCGAGCAGTTTCAAGTTCTTTGTTACTGACTTCAGGATTAGTGTAGTTGGCTTTGGAATTCACATTCTGTTTTCTCTTCGCTTCAGCTTGAGCACCGATTCGTGCAATATGCTTTGAAGGAGGAGGAAGTTTCTTTTTAGCCTGTTTAGGACGTGAGGAATTTTTCTGAGGCGTGGGGGGATTGATCATATTTGTCACATGTGAATTAGGTACACGTACTGAAGCTGGAGATGTTGAGTGCTTAGTTGACATGGAAGTTTGAGATGTACCGCCAACACTTCCACCACCGAACATGTTGGACTGACGGGACTGAATTGAAGTTACAAGTGATGATTGTAGAATAGCCAAAGCATCTTCAACAGTACCCGGTTTGAAATCGTTTCTGGGGAAGGCAAAGAAAGCGATTTAATGGTTACCAATCACTCATCAATAATAAAAAAAGAAACATCATTACACAGTGGAGTCGGTGGCTCAGGGGAAAAATGTCCACCGAGCCAAACACATGCGCCGTGTTCGAATCCACCAGCCGACACACTTCAAAATATCGCCTAACCGGTAGGAGGCCTGGAAAAGAAGAAAGGTTGGGCGGGCGTAAGGTTAGTAACCTCACCCCGTAAAAACAATAGCACTACTGAAACGTTAAAGCTTACACACACCTTGCAGCCCCACGTTCTACTCAGAACGCATAGTTACTCTTGATAAATGTATACTTTCCTTTATGACTATATTGGCCAATTTAACTACTGCTAGATCGAACTCAACACAATAACGACACCGAATGAAGACCACGAAAGTAGCAGTATAACGACCCTTTCAGTGCCACACACACAAAACCAGCTCAAAGTACATCTGGATGGTTATCGAGTATGATTGTTAAAACAAGATATGGAGTAAACTAAAAGTATACAATGCAACCCCACCCCACGTATACAACCTGGTAGAGTCGAGGGTGGGGAGACTCCAATTTTCTTCTCGAAATACTCTCATGCAACCACGTGTTCATAGGCCCTGCCAAGTTAATCATATTCGCTGCTTTTATACGGTTAGGGTGTAATCCTGACAACAGTGAAACAGCGAATAGGAATGTCTGGCACACAAAACAACACGACTATTGGACATGCTGGTCTATCTAGCGGGGGGAGGGGGGAATTGCAAAATCCTGATTCCAAACCTATGGTGGTGTACATGGGCTCCAGAATCCGATTACATCAAATGGCATATGGACCTGTTTTTGTCACCGGAATCCACGAGAACGTTGCTCGTGATGCTGTTCCCCTATCTCTCTAGTGGATCAAACTTCAAGTCAGAGGCTCAGTGGGGGTGGCCCTTCAAACAATCATCTCGCTTCGGTCCCGACATCTCAACCCTCGCGCAATCTATAAGATTTTGCGTGGTGCATCTCTTAGTACCTATAATACACCAAGTATGTATACTAACAATAATAATAATAAGTATATAATAGTTACTGTACATAGTCCACATGTAATAATGTTGAACTGGACAACTTTCACCCCTAACAACATAAAAATTTGTGTTGCATATTGAATTAGTACAAGTGTTTTTCTCAATTTCATCTAACTTACTAACTGACTGATTGGTTTCAACGTAGGACTTTGCACAGATGTGTAGCAGTTCGAGTCACCAAACTTCATGTACCACACACAAAGCAAGGGAACAGAGCAAAGGGGGGTTCAAAAGGACACCTCGAAAACAGAAGTGTGAGGGGAAAAGAGGAACTAGTAATATGGAAGAACAATAGAGTTTGATTGGATATTATAAATCACAAAGATTGAATGCACCTGTGTCAGGCATTGAAAACGATTTTGAGCCATGTCACCAATAATCGTCTCCAGCTGTCATTAGTTTTTACCATCCTGAGGACCCAAACTAGCCACCCAGTCCACAACTCCTTAAGTGGTTGGCTTGAATTAACTGTTGCGGATTACACTGACCGATGAAGTTTTGGTATGACCACCAACCACTAGCTCTTTCCCAACCTCATCCATCCTATGTGAGCTATATTGACCGTCACAGAGGAAGGCGATGGATGACTAAACATGAATGCGTAACACGTATCCTGACCATCTTAATCGATGTAACTTCACAACCTCGTAGACTGACTTCCCCTTCTACCTACCTAACCAGCACTCGATCGATACCTAACAGCAATATTGCTCAACTCATTATACCACTTAACACTGAAGATTGAACGCAGACAACTATCATCAAAAACAGCTAACCAGGGTTTTCGTATCTTCCACTTTCAATTACCATCATATCTCACAGCCATAAAGCAGGAGTGAGAGAACTACTGAACAGTACAGTCCCTTTGGTCAACACGTCACGTCTACTAATCCAGAGATGACATAAGTTGGCATATGCCAAACGAACCTTCTGTATCCGTGCTGTGATTTCGTCAGCGATCAATCCCCTGGCGTTGACTGATGCAGTTTTCCAAATAAATAGGTCGGCCAACACTCTCTATCACTTCATTCGTGTCTGTCTTTCAGCTGGGAGTGTGTCGATGTAGTTCAGTCGAGTCCTCTAGCATCATCATCTTACATTTGACCAAGGGAGCGAATCGCATCGCAAACATAAGAAGACTGCTCGCTGCTAAAGGTGTTCAGAAGACTCTGCGCCATTCTGTCAGAGTCTTCACCTAGGCGACAGGACTATATCATCCGAATATTCTAAGTCAACTAGACTACTAATCCCTGGTGGTAACAAATCAATCCCTTAGTCTGTCTGTTTTCGACACAGAACTTTGCACCGATGTGCTTTTGTGCGATGTGCTTTTTCAGCATTCCCTTCATAGCCATACATCGCCAGAGTACCTCTCGGTCGACAGAATCGAATGTCGCTTTCACCTCAAGATATATGACGATTGTTGGACGCCGACGGTAAGTATACCTATGTTTTAGAATCTATCGAAGAGTCAAGAAATATGATCAATACACCCTCTTCCTGGCCTAAAGTCTGCCTAGTTCTCTGGTGTTTGGTCCTTCCGAGCACCACTTAGTCTACGCATGACCACTGAGTCTAGAACCTTAGACTACATATTGCTCAAGCTAATCTCCCTGTGATTATCACAGAAAAACTTGTCTCCTTTCTTGCATACTGGGATAACCAATGACTTACACACACCATTCCGACGAGACTATCTCTGATTCCCAGACACCGCCTGGTACCTTACTAAACGCAGACAGTAAACTGTCTCCTCAATCTTTAAACACCTCTGGAGTCATTCCATCAGATACCACCACTGTTTCGCCTCGTTTCAGACTAATGACAACCGAAGTTAGGGACGGAAAACCTGTGTGTATATCCCATCCAGGGAGGTATCGGATGCTGGGTAAGTTGAGTGTGACTGTATATGGCGTCAAAGGGGATTTTCCCGACCGAAAGCTGCTACCTTGACGTGGTGGTCGGGCTTGAACACCGCAATGACCTAATCAAGCTATACTGGCTGAGACTTATGTCTCTTGAGGTTCTACCATGCCAGGCAGGTTGTTTGGATAGCGGTTAAACAAAAAGCAGCTACCCATCCAATACCATGATCCAAACAAATTCACAAAATTTCATGCCGGATCGGCCGTGGCCCGGATTAACAACGACCGCGCTTCCTGCTGCCGTGTCACAGGGCGGGAGTGATAAGTATGCTACTGAGGCACACAAAACAACGAAGAACGAACAAAAACAGGCCGCGTGTGACCGGCCACAAGCAGTTGTCCCCTGGGCTCTGCGGTCACGCAACCAACTTCCACGGTGTGGGCAGCCGGGAAGTAACAATCGCCCTCACAATCCAAAACGCACACAAAACCTCTCTAATCCTCACTTATCTTTGTCTTCATCTTCATCTCTATTACCTTACCTTCCCCCCAGTGATGCAACTCCTCTACTTGATGGCTCCTCACTCCCTCTTCACTCTGTGTCCACTAAAAACGACGAAAGCCAAAAAACCACCACGGATAGTCTCCTAAAGCCACGCCACCAATTTCATATAGGAGCATTTAATGTAAGGACACTTTGCCAAATAGGACAACAAGCATCACTAGCTAAGACCCTGGCATCTCGAGCCATTGATGTATGTTGTGTTTCAGAAACACGCATACAAGACCCAAGTGTGGTTATTCACCTAACCCCACCTGGCCAACAGGATGAATCTTCAAAATTCACCTTGAGGGTGTCAGGAGATGCCACAGCTAGTTCACGGGGATTAGCTGGCGTAGGGATAGCTCTGAGTACTAGGGCAGAAAAGACATTGCTTGACTGGATCCCAGTAGATAGCCGAATGTGTGCTGTCCGTCTGAACGGATCAGTAAGAAGGAGAAAGGACTGCACTACTCGCCGATGCCTTTTCGTAATCTCCGCCTACGCCCCCACTGACTGCAGTTCGGATGAAACGAAGGATGAGTTCTACCAAAAGCTGTCTAGTTTGGTGAGAAAGGCTAAACGCTCAGATATAGTCGTTCTAGCTGGTGACTTTAACGCTCAAGTAGGGAAATTGTGTCAATCTGAGAAGGATGTCGGTGGCACCTATGGAGTTCCGTGCCAGCGAACCGACAACGGTGACCGTCTCCTACAGTTCTGTTCAGATAATCATTTGTTTCTTGTAAGCACTAACTTTAAACACAAGGAGAGACACTGTTTAACCTGGCGACCCCCATCATCAAACCAACGCTGGACACAAATAGACCACATAGCAATAAGCTATCGTTGGCGTGGGTCGGTAGGAGATTGTCGCTCCTTCTGGAACACGTGTGTAGATACCGATCACGCACTGGTCCGGGCTCGTGTGTGCTTACGACTGAACGGACGTAGGAAACAGCTGGCGGTAAAACCATTACGCCCCCAGCTCGATCAGGAAACTAAATCCCTATTTGAGGAAGAACTAGCTAAACGCATATCTGAATCCGACAGCTGTGCTCACCCTGGAGAAGCCTGGAAGAATATTCAGTCAGCTATAGATACAGCTGTAAAAGCTGTGAATAAGACAAATCCAAAGGTGAGTAAAAACCACTGGATTTCGACTGCCTCATCCGAACTGATAGATGCTAGAAGACTTATTCCGGCGAGCTCCGAATTCAATGAGGAGCGAAAGCTGCACAAAAGGAAACTTACTAAAAGTCTCCGCAAGGACCGTGAACAGTGGTGGGTGACAAAGGCGAAAGAGATGGAAAAAGCATCGGCGATAGGCAACACTAGGCAACTCTTTAGACTCATCACAGAATCGGGCGGGAAAAGGCAATTCATAAGTGAGACTATTTCTGAGAAAAATGGCTCCTTAATTAGCTCTCAGGATAGACGCCTTGAACGCTGGAAAGAACACTTTGAGGAACAATTTAACTTGCCTACAGCCACACTGAACCTCCCCGCCATCCACCACGTACCCGAATGGGATATAGACACTGGTCCGCCGTCTGTAGGTGAGGTTACAAAAGCTATCAGTAATTTGAAACGAGGCAAAGCGGCAGGACCCGACGGAATTATTCCGGAGGTGTTTAAATATGGGGGTGACATACTAGTTTGTAGATTAACTGAGGTACTAGGCAAAGTCTGGGAATCAGAGACAGTACCATCAGACTGGGGTAAGTCACTTATTATACCGATATTCAAGAAGGGAAACAAGTCCTCGTGTGATAATCATAGGGGGATCAGCCTAACGAACATAGTCTCTAAAATCCTAGGCTCAGTAATCATGCATAGACTAAGCAGAACTCGGGAGGAACAGACAAGGGAAAATCAAGCAGGCTTTAGACCAGGTAGAGGGTGCATAGATCATATCTTCACTCTTCGACAGATTCTAGAACATAGACACACTTTTCGGCGTCCAACAATTGTCATATTTCTTGACTTGAAGGCGGCCTTCGACTCCGTGGACCGAAAGGTACTATGGCAATGTCTGACTGTGAAGGGAGTGCCAAGAAAGTACATTGCACTAATCAAGGCACTCTATTCAAACTCACGTAGTCGTGTAAGGGCTTATGGGGAATTGTCATCTGAATTAGTAACAACCAGTGGTGTCCGACAGGGATGTCCACTTTCCCCATTTCTGTTTAACTTCATCATAGATATGCTAATGGAAGTATCCTTAACTGAACGTAGTGACTTAGGAATCGACTTGTTACCAGGGAATAATCTAATGGACTTAGAATATGCAGATGACATAGTCCTGTTAGGGGAGGATGCTGACAAAATGCAGAGTCTTCTGAACACCTTGAGCAGCAATCTTCGTATGTTTGGCATGCGATTCGCCCCTGCAAAATGTAAGATGCTGCTACAGGACTGGACGACGTCAACCCCTAACTTAGTGATAGGGAGTGAAGTGATAGAACATGTTGACCACTTCACCTATTTGGGAAGTTGTATTAGCACCAACGGACTGATTGGCGATGAAATCTCAGCACGGATCCGAAAAGCTCGAGCTGCTTTCGCTGACTTACACCATCTCTGGCGTAGGCGTGACATCCGGTTATCAACCAAGGGACGTGTGTACTGCTCATCAGTTCGCTCCGTCCTTCTCTATGGCTCTGAAACATGGCCAATACGCGTTGAAGACATGAAAAGGTTGACTGCTTTCGATCATAGATGTCTGCGATCTCTGTCTCACGTTAGGTGGTTTCACAAGATAAGTAATGTTGACGTTAGGCGTAGAGTGTTGGGCAAAGAGGGAAAATCAATCGACGAGGCTATAAAGTTACATAGACTAAGATGGCTAGGTCACGTGGTGCGCATGCCTAACCACCGCCTCCCCCGACGGGCATTGCTAGCTGATATAGGTTCAGGTTGGAAAAGAGCCAGTGGTGGCCAAACAAAAACATGGCATCAATCCATGAAATCCTTGACAGTTAAACTGAGTCAGGTAGGGAGATGCAGACTCCCGGGTTGGGGCCCTCGGGACTCTAGGAATCAATGGCTGGAGACAATAGGTGACATGGCTCAAAATCGTTGTCAATGGCGCAGATGTATTCAGTCTCTGTAATCTTTCATATTCCTTTCTACCATTACCCATTCTGTTTCACTCTTATACTTGTCAAACTCTATTGATTCTCTTCACTCATCTTCTTGTCTACCTCTGTGTGCTATTTGGAACGTGGCAACTCGAACTGCTGCACTTCGGTGCCAAGTTCTATGTTGAATCCAGACAGACAGACAAAGGGGATTTGGAAATAATTATAAAATTTATCCTTAGTTATCTTACATTTTTCCATACTGGCAAATATTTTCAATATCCTCTAATAAGTCTGTCTCAGATTCATCATCACTGACAACATCGACTAGGCCATTCACACTTGGACCAGGTATACCACCAACAACACCAACACCAGCAATACCAGTCGTCGTCGTAGTAGTAGTATTAGTAGTAGTAGTGAGCAAATTAAGACGTTGTTTAGTAAGAAATTCTGAATCAGCCATTGCAATTTTCAACTCTTCTTCTTCTTCGGAATCTTTTTGATAGGTGACTACACCAGCTGAACGTAAAACTTCTATAGTACAGGGATCTCGATCAGATGGGACAGTTTTTATTGTTGGCGATTCCATGACACGTGTACAATCAGCTTTCATTAGATTTCTCATTTGATCTTCAACAGACTTAATTTCATCTGTACATGTGACAGTATTCTCTACTGCTGATATTAGTCTAGCTTGAAATAATAAAAAAAAATAATCTAAGAAAAAAATAATAATAATTTAAACAGTTAAATGTTATAGTTACTTACAACAGCTGAGACATTGACAAATCACAATTTATATCTTCTAATCAACGCCTGCCTACTAATTAAGGATGATGTTTTGAGTGAAAACTAGTCAGTAACTCATGTAATGTCTCTGGTCTTTTGTTTGGTTGGTGCAGACTGAATTTTATCATCAGTCAGGTTTGCAATGTGGCCACCATTCCTCTAGGTGGCTCGCTATCACGGTGCACTTTAAATTGTTGATGTTAGACGGTTGGAAGTTAATCGCGAGCCCGAATAGCTGCTGAGTGGTAACGTCTCAGACTACAGGCACTACTGGGTGATGCGAGTTCGAGTCTAAGAAGGGATGTGAATTCCTTCAATGTTCCAGAGACGCCCTGCTGACTGTTAAGTGCCAACCAGAACGAAACCTGTCTGTCTGTCTGTTTTCGACATAGAACTTTGCACAAATGTGCGGAAGTTCAAGTAGCCTAGGTCGAAGGCTTCCTCCCAACTGCTTTGAACCATCTAATACCGACGACATTGGTGATTGTAGTGGACTGGATCATGCAACACACACAAGGGGAGTGAGAAAACAAAAAATACTTTTCACCAATAAGAAGACTCTAGAGAGATCTGAACTATGTAGGCCTGAACGTTATCAAGAGTGGAAAGTAGTCATTATGAGGAAATATTAACAGAATATGACAACGATTTTAATACAGAAACGGTCTAAATGCGTCCACACCAGTATGGCGTTTTCTGACCTAAACTGTGTTACTTTTCACCTACATTTCCTTTAAAGATGGCTACAAAATTCCACATAATCAAAACAAACTATCAAACGGAATTAAAATGTCTGTCTGTTTTCGACATAAAACTTTGCACAAATGTGCGGAAGTTCAAGTCGCCACACTCTGTGTAGCACGCGAAGCAAGAGAAGAAAGTACAAGAAAAGAAAAAGAATTAAAATGTAGGATTTCATGCCATCTATAACATGTATCACAAGAGCATTCACCACCCAAACTCAAAGTATTTACAGGACTGAGCCTTTCAGTTCAACAGAGAGAGAATGAAGTTTTTAATTAGCCACAACTGGATATAATGCAAGTTTCAGAAATACAAAACCCTGAATCCGTCAATCCCAGTTATAAAGGGTCTGTCATCCATTGTAAGACGGTGTTTAAAAGGATAACTACTTCGAGAACTAATGTGACAACCAAAGTTAGATGTGACGACAAAAGTGTAACAGGTATTGACAATAAACTCTTGGTGTAAAAGTCCGAAATCATTCACGATGAAGCAGATCGATTTGCACCTTATCATCGGGATTCTGAATATTTTACAACTTATTTAAGCTGTTCTTTCCTTAGAACACTTCTATCCCATACAAGATCTTTGCATTCCTTTGTTCCTCTCTTGCATACGGCATTTTTAACTGATGTACACATGTACAAAGTTTTCCGATGACAAGATGAAAAACAAAAAGTCTCGACGATTTTGCGGAAGGATGTGTTCGAGATTTCCAACTAGCTAGCTCCCTACAACATGATGATTTCACCTTGAAGCATACATAAAAGGTTGTGAGCTGCCATAGAAAATAAAAAATAATATTATTTATCCTTTATTTGCCTTGCTCCCATCTTTTCGGGTGGTTAGAGTGTTACACATACATACCCCGTGTACCGTTAAGTGACTACATGAAAAAACCTACCGATTCATCTAGTTTGCGACTGGAAAGGTTTTTGATTAAAAAATGACAAAAGAGATTTAAGGAATCCACTGAACATCCATCAATGGAATAAATGTACTCCGTTTTTAAATTATAACAAGCTTATGAATATCTAAAACATCTCATTTTTCGGGCAAATCCCAACCATTTTGTGATTATGTTGTGGTGATTTAGACCATTTAAGTGACTACTACAGGCATACATATATGCCTGAACATTTCAGGCTCAGTTTAGCCCTACAACAACGGAACGTAAAGGATAATCCAAATGACTGATTGCAAATGCCCATGATAGGATTCAAGAAATACTTAACTCCTAAAATAACGAGAAAATTTTGTTAAACTCACAAGGTATGCAGAGAGTAACTCTTGAATTTCCTCAGACAATGTTCCTGACTGATCGTCAGATACAGTTAGCAACCCAGATATATATTCACAAACCACTTCAGTATCAATATCTTCAGACAATTCTCTGAGAAATGCAGCAATCCAATCTGGATTTACTCATTCAGTGAACATATTATTCGTTATTTCTTTAGAAAGCCAGTTCCGGTCTCACAAATACTTATATCATACCAAATAAATTATTTGTACAAGCTTTTTGGTGGTGGAAGAACACTTGGTGAATCACTAGGCTGTTACCTCTGCCTCTGGCCAAAGGGCAGAGACAGCCTGTCAAGGAAGCCTGTAGACGGCCGTAATTTTGAGTGACCGCGAATGACATAAACAAGCGATTCGCTCGGCTGAAATTATCCGTCACTTATCAAGGTCATTGGTGGAGTGAGACGCTCGAAGGTCATTTTCGTCCATATCAGTCGGCCATGTTGGATTGCAGTTCCGTAGCTGTTCGTCTACGCGTTTGTTGTTCCGTTTATCCTGCCGTCATACACGACTTATCTTGTTGCGTAGTGTTCACAAATGTTGCGTTTCACCTCAATTTTTGTTTCCGTTGCTGTTAAAATGAATTATTTCTTTGGTTTTGAAAGTTTCCACTACCAGGTCAGTTCATTCATTTCGGTGTAATTGTTTCATACCTTGTATTTATGCGGCTTTCAGTGTTTTATTTGGTTTTCAGCTGTTAATGAATTGGCAATGTGTGGAAGTCTTGGAAATCATGCACGTGAAGATGTTTGGCTGGCAGAAGCAGTTGTTTTCAGTCCATTTATTGGTTGCTGTTATTCTTGTTGGCTCATTTAATTACCTAAGATGTAGAAATCGTGAAAAAAGTGTCTTTCTCGTTCATGTTTACAGCATGCAACAATCTGCGAGTGAATCTGTTAAAGGGAACACCAGAGTTGATGTTAGCAAAGTTTTCGAAGAACAAATTAAACGTGGAAAATTTAGAACCTGGGTTGAAGTTGAAAAAGCTTTGAAGCTTTTTGAGAATGTGAATATACCATCCGTGTGTCTGCTATCATTTAAAAAAATATATATCGTGAGAGAATCTAAGTCAAATAAGGTTGAGCCGCATGAAAAGTATGAATCTGTTGTGCTTGTGTGTATTTTGGGGAACTAAAAGAAACTGGAATCCTTAAGGGTAAGTGTTACTTATGCTTATTATTGCTTGATGTACTAGATCCAAATACATGAACTAGGACTACCCGTAATAGAGCCAGTGTTAACATCCATTCGATGGGTTGCAAAACGGTTTTCAAAGCGGATAAAATACGATTATCTGGTGAGTGTACGAACAATCCCAGTTAAAGGTAAGACATTAATTAGGAAGAATAACGTTCCGGGTGGTAGTCTACGATCGGTGGTTTCCTCGAAGTTGTGATTTTTCCGTGACTATAAACACAGATGTTCACGATCTTTAAAAAAAACTAAATAAATTTACCTTGAACCAGTAGTCTTCTTTTCTTTGGCGAAACATCCGTTGATACGATTATACGATTAGGTAGCGAAGTAAGATGTTATGTGACTGAGAATCGTGGTTGTTGTGTTTTGGACTAATTTCGCGCATCTGACTGTTATAACCGCATGGATATAGCGTTTTCCTCATAGTACATTATGATATCTAGAAATCATAAGCACGTTGCCATCGGTAAATTTATTTTTACTTTTTAAATGACTGCAAATAGTGAGTCGTTTGAGGTGATAGGATGAATACCTATGAACGTTTTTGGGGAGACTAGGGTATATTTAATTTTTTCGAGTAAGGGACGATCTTTTTACCAAGAAAGTTCCCAGAATTTTCGTTATTCAAAGATAACGCTAAGTTGCCCACTAGGGTGGTAGCTATAGGAGATTACCTTCAGCGGAAACTATATTAATGTAGTTTTAGGTAACGCATCATAGAAGTAAGCATCGTAGGTTAATTGTGTCTAAATGTATTAAACGTTGTATAACTGATCAAACCACAGTTCTTACGTGCGAGTTAGTTTTATAAATAATGAATGTACCGTACAAGCGTCTACCATGATTTGCATACCTAGCTCATAAACATTATGCCTGCATGTGGCATACATTTAGGGCCAACACGCTGCGATGAATCAGTCCGAGATACTTAGAGTCAGACTTCATTTCCATATCACTATTATCAATTTTGCAACGGTCATAGGAATTAACACCTTCAACTAACTTTCGTTTACATCGGAAACTGAAAATAACAGTCTGACATTTCGAAGGATTTAGTTTAAGAGCATTTTCCCACTCCTAATAGAGAGCTGTTCATCTTAGTACGGTGTAGTTGGCAGTTAACAGACATTGAAGTAGTTAGATCGTCCGCGTGTTTGAAAAAGTTCTTCTCGTATGCATTCGTACAATAACTTCATCAAACAAAAATACAATTGGTAATGGACGACTTCCCCCTGACCTACAGTGTTCTGCTTTCTCCCTGATAAATTAGAATGAAGCCATCTAACAATCCAATACTCAGTTTGAGTTTCAGCAAGCTTATCTAACAGAATATCTCTAGGTAGTGAGTCGAAAGCGGATGTGTACTCTAGGAAGGTGCAGCGAATTTAGCCCCATTGTCTATACTGGAGAAAATGTTGTGAAGCAAGACTGCAGCTGCATCTAAAGTACGTCTACTGTGTTTATAGGAGAACTGTTTGGGATCGTTAAAGGCTCTGAGTGAGGGTTAAAGATTAAGTAAGAGTAACTTTCCCTTAGTTCGTATATACCTCATTTGATTTGAAACAAAGGAAGCAGGTCTTATTAACGCTTGTAACACTAGAAAGTTTGGCATTTATGGGAGAATTTATGAAAGACTTGTTTAGTTTACACACACCAAATGAATAGGGAATACTGGAGGTAATTAGATGCATACAGGCGTAGGTTATTTAACATCTATAAAGTAGACATGCAAATACCGCAGTTTTTGATCACAGAAATGATGGATACTAGATAACATCCTATGATTCAACGGCATATTAAAATAAATAAAAATTGTTTCTTAGCTGATTGTCAAGTGAACAGTCTATTTGATGATGTCACTGCATATTAACGGATTAGTGAAGTAGATATCAAGCCTAAGTTACTACATTTACTTGTACTACATACTTGGCGTTTAACAGTATACAGACTTTCAACTGGTTAGATAAGGCGACTTTAGAGTATCCAACAGTACAGAATTATTATTCAACTTGCTAAATCCCACTTAGCTTTTACAATGTGCTATTGTGTAGAAACAGACACGAAATCCTACTAATGACTAAAGTAACATTCTCATAATACTACAGTGAATCTCCATCCCACTAACTAAGCTTAGCGTTTATTATTCCTAATTCACTTATTACAAAAGCACATTGTATAGCGAGGAATTGAAGAAGTCTACAGGAAGAAGTAATCAAGAGTATATTAAACATTTGATTAATTTACAAAAGAAAATTCTGATGAAGGGTAATAAAGTTAGTTTGACCGAATGATGTTTCCGCTGATTTCATATTCGACAACCTCCGTATACCTGGAAAAAATAAAGTACATGTTAGAACTAGCATAACATGAAGTTAACAAGAGATAATTCTGCATATTAGCATATACTATGAATACACTCATTCTGTTAAAACTAAGTATTATCTCAGGCAGATAAATGTATTTGTAGTCTACAGCTGATTTTTATGTTGACGCCGTATACATAAATATACATCATATGTTTTCCTGCATTTGAGGACTATATGCAAATTTCAAGGCAATCTCCGAAACATTCATACTATTGAGGCGTCATTCTCTCATCAAGCTTACTTGCAGATCAACTTCACACTAAACACTTTTACATGAAATGAAGTATTGCAAGTGTATAACTTAGAAGTTAATCCACAATCTCAGTAATGTCTAGTCCACAAGGTTTTGTGAATCCTACAGAAATCACATTTTCACATTTAGGAGACTATAGGCATCAAATATAAGCTGAACATGCCTCAACTCTAGACAGCTATGCACAGTGCTAACAACATAGTGAAACACTTCAACTATTGTAAAGTACACAGACCTGTTGTGTTGATGAGGATAATAATGTCATATAATGCAAACTAGAAAATTCAATCGTCATAGAGCATCTGTACTGCTTTGTCTAAATGGAAATCTCAGGAGAAATTCATCTCCACTATTGGTGATCAAAAATATTGTAGCATTAAGTATACAGTCAGTGGAAATTGTAAAAGAGAATAAATTCATATTAATGATAATAAAGCTGAATAGATTCAGTTCTAGTAACCACCTTCGTTTGTTATCCTATCAGTCAGCTTAGTACACAATGGCACAATATTATTATAGTTGAGATATTTTTGTACATTTAATTAACATAACCCATAGCACACTGCACCAACCAGTGCCAATATATATGAAATCCATTTAGAGATAACCTTTCAACTTACCATAATTCCTGTCCAACCACAGATAGAGTGAAAAGCACATCTAAATGACAACTTAGGTTCCCACCAACGATTCTGATAACATTTGCAGGTGATTTCCAAGTATTGAGAGAATTATTTTGTCAAAAAAGACTGTTCTTCACACGAAAATAGGCTGTACTGATATCCTGAGACATGAAGTCTTCATTGAATGATACTATGCCGAAAGATGCAGCTTCTACATGGAGTAAATGAGTGGTGTAAATGGCATTACCCTCTAACTATCCTATCTCCCTCATTACACCGACATTTTGATACATTCCATCTGAAAAACTAATCATTGCAACCAATATGCTAAAAGTGTGTCGCAGTCAGATCACATGAGGCGGACACCAACATAACCAGCCAAAAAGTGGGAATTTCCCTCAATCTAGATAACATATAATACAATTTTATTAAAAATTATTGGCAAAAAAAAATCCAAACGTAACTTCTAGAGTACGTGACGAATAAGTCCAGCCATTCGCTCGCTCGTGATTGGCCAGTTTGTCATTCTAGTTGAGGTAATTTCAAACATCATTTTGCTGCTTGGTTAAGTTCTGAATTTCCGGGATCGTTTTATCAAATCTGAGAGATAACTGACAACACAAACTATTACAGCTCAGGAGAGAAATGATATACCAGTGGATTTATTTGCTGAATTCAACGAATTCAT